ACCCAGAGTGAATCTCAACCAGAAGGTTGACTTAAAATAGGTTATGATAAAGCAGAGTAGATGAACTGTACTAGTGTGGTGCGCGCCACTTATAAGTAGTATATGACGTGAGTGTCAACGTAATGTCTGGCAGCAGAAGATGGGGGAAGATCAAGAAAGGAAGAGTTAGAAAACAATGGAATTTGTATGAAACGCAAGAATAAGTGAAATGTCAGACAATGGATTGATGATTGATTGAAGATTTGGAAATTAACGGTTACGATATGGTTTTCCTATTTTACTGAGTAACCCTGCAATTTTCGTTAAATACAATTCGTCTGGCCTCACCTGTGATCTCCTTCACTACACTAGATAGTGTATCAAGCGATCTAAAATGTGACCTAGAGACTAGCTAATCAGAATGAATTCGGTGTGAGAGAGCACTAAGGTATAAAAGCAATAACTTTACGAAGCATCTACACCTTTAACACAATAAATGAAATTATTAGGCCAAAATATCGATGAATTAGGTTGGAAATGATAGCAGATTAACTCTAAAAGTCTAACGTTATCACCTTCATCCTAACACTTCCTTTTACGAGAAAATTATCATCCAATTTATCTAAAATACAAAATTCGGTCCAAAGCATGGTATCTGGCAACAAGCCATCCACAATGACGTTTTAAATTGGCGCGAATTTTTGATATTGGCCATTGTGATTGTGATTGATAGCTCAGAAAGTGATCAATAACCTGTAGTTTCACCACAACATATTGCAAGACAAGTTGAAAGAAGATAGACTTGGGACATTGGTCATGAAGAAATGATCAAGTGATTTGTGTGAGAAGCATCGACTACGGAATTGTTCAATGACTGGAATAACAAGGACACAATTAAATTGGGTTTTCGGTTCAACATCCATAGATTTTTTATGTTTTACTAAAGAATTCTCTTTTAGTATAAACTGTTTTTAGTGTAACATAATTTATATTCTTCCAGTAAATAAAATAGTATGACTTATTTACAGAGGTACTTGCGACAAGGAAAGATGAATACAATTTAGGTGAAAACGACCACTAACTATTGAGTAGCATAACTTTCGAAACAGAAAGTCCAACACGATACGGTGTCGATAGTATGAAATGTACATTCGCTAACTGAAATCGATCACGAAAAAAATCAACACGACAGTGAGTTCAGAGGAAACTAAATGCTTAAATTTCCTACTTAATATGATAAACATCTGCTGCGAACAAAAAGAATTTTTTGTGCTGAACATCGAACATCAAGAAATACAAATTCATTAGTAAACAGTGAAAAATAAATTAATGATGCTTTTGTTTAGTAATATTATTCAAAACAACTTAACTGGAAGTAAGGCTAAAAGTAAACAGAAATCTGACACCTAATCAATAAAATGTTAAACAGTAACTATCACCAATTCATATCAATTTTCAAGCACGGTTAACTACATAAACTATATTTACATAACAAAAATAGAGCTACTCTATAAAGTGGTAAAGTGATTTACTGTATCAGCTGAAGCAAGATTGATTCCTTCTCCACCAGCTCTAGTGGATAGCAGGAAAATAAAAAATTCTGAGTTGGGAGCGTTGAAACGATCGATAGTGACCTGTCTTAAAGGGCCACGCACGCGACCATCAATACGAACATATTTATACCTTTTTTGAAAGAAAGTAAATGAAAGGTAATATTTCTATTTGCTGGACTATAATCATTCATTCATTCATTGAAAAGAAAATTTCAAACCTAATTTAAACACAAATTAGTAGATCTACGAAGAATAAACAAGTGTTTTAACAATGGTCACAAATTTTATAACTCATGAAAGCTGGCTTTCTAAAAACAATGCAGTCATGACCATCAAATTTAAACGACATCTTTTGTATTTATAGGTTATAAAACCATATGCTCCGTAACTGATCTCTCATCTCATGTAACCTGTTGCAATTTTTCATCACAGCTCATTCAACTTAACTGTATGTTATTAGGATTGAAATATTTAGGTATTATCACAAAATATAATCGTGACATTTCGTATTTGGGTTAGCACCAAAACTTTAATCACGTCCAACACATGGACATAAATTAAACACACTTAAATACCCAACAGATGGTAGTATGCCCTCCTCTTCATAAACTATTAAAGTATTGAATAAAATTTAAATTTTTAGATGCGTAGAACATGATTATTGTTGTATCGAAACTGTAGTAAACAGTTAAATAATTACTATACAACAAATAGTTCAAAGAGTTTATAGTTTGCTTTGAACCTAAAGTGAAAAATGGAGCTTATGATTGCTTAATTTTTATGTCAGTGTAATGTAAGTTTTAAAAAAACCGATATAGCGCTAACTCGATATTGGCATAGTACACTTTTTTCCAATGCTGAAAGAGTAACATTTGAACATCTATGTTAGCAGTAACAAACCTGTAAAGTTTGGTATCAAATTAAACAAAAGAACAGTTTAAAACTTAACAATATTGTAACCTAGTGCGATTCGATCCACAAAACATCAGGGATTTTTACAAATACTGTAGGAGGGACTAAGAATATCACTTCAAAATCCAATGAGATGACAACTAATTAATTTGATTAGTATCCAATCCTTCCTAATGTTAAAAACACAGTATTAAGTTAAATAAGTTGGAAATTTGATAAAATTCAAATTCTAGCATGTCCTAATGGGAAATTCACTGTTGCTTATAATAAAAAGTGCATTAGTCAAGAAAGCTAACAGATAAATTTATCAAAAGAAGATACTCACCTGGCATTTATCATAACTTCTTCCAGTAAATCTAACATCATTGTGAAATGGGAAAAAATCAACACTCGATGATCATAGCCATCGTGAAGCCACCCACGCACATAGTCTATTGACGAACTTCGTAAAAGAGTTCCAGGAACGTATGTTGGAGAAGTTAACGAAACGAATGAATTTGAATCACAGAGGTTTTACCGATTATTCAAATAATCCGCATACAGACTCGATAACTAAATCCATTCATGAATTTCGTTTTGATGGCGTAGCTGGTGTGACTTTCGAGTCTTGGTTCAAGAAGTATGAGGATTTGTTCAAACCTCAACAAGCTTGATGACGCCGCCAAAGTCAGAATCCTCTTGAGAAAGCTCGGCACAATCGAACACGAACGTTATAGTAATTTCATCCTCCCAAAGAACCCACGAGATTTCTCTTTTAATGCACCAATTGATACGCTGTGCCACAAATCTTCTCTGACACGCGCAATCTCTCTTTAATATTCGTGTGTCAATACCAACACTGGAAACGACAGCGGAATGATGCACTCAAGGGCCCCGCGAACCTGTACTCACTAGTACATGTGTGCGGGCCTGAGAGCCATCAGATGCAGCAGTTTCACGTGGTGTGCCTGTGATTGATGACAACGAATATTAAAGAGAGATGGACTGTTCAGAGAAGATTTGGGACAGCGTATCAATTGTAGCATCAAAGAGAGAAATCTCGTGGGGTTCTTTGGGAGGATGAAATTACTATAAACGTTCGTGTTCGATTGTGCCGAGCTTTCTCAAGAGGATTCTGGCTTTGGCGGCGTCATCAAGCTTGTTGAGGTTTGAACAAATCCTCATACTTCTTGAACCAAGACTCGAAAGTCACACCAGCTACGCCATCAAAACGAAATTCATGAATGGATTTAGTTATCGAGTCTGTATGCGGATTATTTGAATAATCGGTAAAACCTCTGTGATTCAGATTCATTCGTTTCGTTAACTTCTCCAACATACGTTCCTGGAACTCTTTTACGAAGTTCGTCAATAGACTATGTGCGTGGGTGGCTTCACGATGGCTATGATCATCGAGTGTTGATTTTTTCCCATTTCACAATGATGTTAGATTTACTGGAAGAAGTTATGATAAATGCCAGGTGAGTATCTTCTTTTGATAAATTTATCTGTTAGCTTTCTTGACTAATGCACTTTTTATTATAAGCAACAGTGAATTTCCCATTAAATTTGAATGTTATCAAATTTCCAACTTATTTAACTTAATACTGTGTTTTTAACATTAGGAAGGATTGGATACTAATCAAATTAATTAGTTGTCATCTCATTGGATTTTGAAGTGATATTCTTAGTCCCTCCTACAGTATTTGTAAAAATCCCTGATGTTTTGTGGATCGAATCGCACTAGGTTACAATATTGTTAAGTTTTAAACTGTTCTTTTGTTTAATTTGATACCAAACTTTACAGGTTTGTTACTGCTAACATAGATGTTCAAATGTTACTCTTTCAGCATTGGAAAAAAGTGTACTATGCCAATATAGAGTTAGCGCTGTATCGGTTTTTTTAAAACTTACATTACACTGACATAAAAATTAAGCAATCATAAGCTCCATTTTTCACTTTAGGTTCAAAGCAAACTATAAACTCTTTGAACTATTTGTTGTATAGTAATTATTTAACTGTTTACTACAGTTTCGATACAACAATAATCATGTTCTACGCATCTAAAAATTTAAATTTTATTCAATACTTTAATAGTTTATGAAGAGGAGGGCATGCTACCATCTGTTGGGTATTTAAGTGTGTTTAATTTATGTCCATGTGTTGGACGTGATTAAAGTTTTGGTGCTAACCCAAATACAAAATGTCACGATTATATTTTGTGATAATACCTAAATATTTCAATCCTAATAACATACAGTTAAGTTGAATGAGCTGTGATGAAAAATTGCAACAGGTTACATGAGATGAGAGATCAGTTACGGAGCATATGGTTTTATAACCTATAAATACAAAAGATGTCGTTTAAATTTGATGGTCATGACTGCATTGTTTTTAGAAAGCCAGCTTTCATGAGTTATAAAATTTGTGACCATTGTTAAAACACTTGTTTATTCTTCGTAGATCTACTAATTTGTGTTTAAATTAGGTTTGAAATTTTCTTTTCAATGAATGAATGAATGATTATAGTCCAGCAAATAGAAATATTACCTTTCATTTACTTTCTTTCAAAAAAGGTATAAATATGTTCGTATTGATGGTCGCGTGCGTGGCCCTTTAAGACAGGTCACTATCGATCGTTTCAACGCTCCCAACTCAGAATTTTTTATTTTCCTGCTATCCACTAGAGCTGGTGGAGAAGGAATCAATCTTGCTTCAGCTGATACAGTAAATCACTTTACCACTTTATAGAGTAGCTCTATTTTTGTTATGTAAATATAGTTTATGTAGTTAACCGTGCTTGAAAATTGATATGAATTGGTGATAGTTACTGTTTAACATTTTATTGATTAGGTGTCAGATTTCTGTTTACTTTTAGCCTTACTTCCAGTTAAGTTGTTTTGAATAATATTACTAAACAAAAGCATCATTAATTTATTTTTCACTGTTTACTAATGAATTTGTATTTCTTGATGTTCGATGTTCAGCACAAAAAATTCTTTTTGTTCGCAGCAGATGTTTATCATATTAAGTAGGAAATTTAAGCATTTAGTTTCCTCTGAACTCACTGTCGTGTTGATTTTTTTCGTGATCGATTTCAGTTAGCGAATGTACATTTCATACTATCGACACCGTATCGTGTTGGACTTTCTGTTTCGAAAGTTATGCTACTCAATAGTTAGTGGTCGTTTTCACCTAAATTGTATTCATCTTTCCTTGTCGCAAGTACCTCTGTAAATAAGTCATACTATTTTATTTACTGGAAGAATATAAATTATGTTACACTAAAAACAGTTTATACTAAAAGAGAATTCTTTAGTAAAACATAAAAAATCTATGGATGTTGAACCGAAAACCCAATTTAATTGTGTCCTTGTTATTCCAGTCATTGAACAATTCCGTAGTCGATGCTTCTCACACAAATCACTTGATCATTTCTTCATGACCAATGTCCCAAGTCTATCTTCTTTCAACTTGTCTTGCAATATGTTGTGGTGAAACTACAGGTTATTGATCACTTTCTGAGCTATCAATCACAATCACAATGGCCAATATCAAAAATTCGCGCCAATTTAAAACGTCATTGTGGATGGCTTGTTGCCAGATACCATGCTTTGGACCGAATTTTGTATTTTAGATAAATTGGATGATAATTTTCTCGTAAAAGGAAGTGTTAGGATGAAGGTGATAACGTTAGACTTTTAGAGTTAATCTGCTATCATTTCCAACCTAATTCATCGATATTTTGGCCTAATAATTTCATTTATTGTGTTAAAGGTGTAGATGCTTCGTAAAGTTATTGCTTTTATACCTTAGTGCTCTCTCACACCGAATTCATTCTGATTAGCTAGTCTCTAGGTCACATTTTAGATCGCTTGATACACTATCTAGTGTAGTGAAGGAGATCACAGGTGAGGCCAGACGAATTGTATTTAACGAAAATTGCAGGGTTACTCAGTAAAATAGGAAAACCATATCGTAACCGTTAATTTCCAAATCTTCAATCAATCATCAATCCATTGTCTGACATTTCACTTATTCTTGCGTTTCATACAAATTCCATTGTTTTCTAACTCTTCCTTTCTTGATCTTCCCCCATCTTCTGCTGCCAGACATTACGTTGACACTCACGTCATATACTACTTATAAGTGGCGCGCACCACACTAGTACAGTTCATCTACTCTGCTTTATCATAACCTATTTTAAGTCAACCTTCTGGTTGAGATTCACTCTGGGTTTCCCGATTGACAGTGATTGCCAGTTCTCAAGTACTAAAATTAAAGCCATAATGTGATGGAATTAATTGAATTATTTCTATCATATTGTTTACTGTCACAAACATCTACATGTAGTTGGGATTATATATTAATTTTGTCTTGCTGGATTTTCATTGGTTTGTCCTCACGACCAATGTGTATGTTTAAGATGCTAGGAGTTTGTGTTCTTATTTTATTAGTCAAATTTGTGCACCACATTTTATCCTATTTTCAATATAAGGTTGTGCTATATGATTCCGATTGGAATCCTCAATGGGATTTACAAGCACTTTCTCGAGCTCATAGAATCGGTCAATCCAAGCATGTGGTTATCTATCGGTTCATAACACGTCATAGTATTGAAGAGAAGATAACTCAGGTGGCTCGGCGTAACTTGCTTTTACTCAGTTAATTGTCGATCAGCATCAGAGACGTTCAAAGACGCGGGAATCTCTTTCGAGTTCTGCATCAAATCAACATGACCCGATTCAAGACAATACTTCAACAAATCCAGACTCAAATGTTGATAACTCAAAAGTTATCCAAGATTGCGTCTCTGAATCTGATCAAGGTACTAATCCTGTAGAGTCAACACAAACACAATCTAGTACTAAATCGGTAAGCCGGCTAACACGTTCAGAAATGGACGAACTATTGCGCTCAGGTGTCGAAGCTCTGTTCGCCTCAGACGATCCTTACACTACAAAGGATTTGTACGATGCAGCTCGAGTAGATGGTACGTTTGTTTATAGTAATCTACATTTGTTTTTAACTGGTCAATCATTTATCTTCATAGATTTTCTACCATCAGCTATCAATCTCCCGACTTGCTAGTTGATAGCTGATAATATCAATGTCACTTAATTCCACCCTCAATAATAACAGAGCATGCAATCTCACTACTTTTCTAAATGACTAATGTGTATTCCAGTGTATCACAACTCAAACAAAAATGGAACTACCAGGATTAAGAGGAGAAGATTTAGTGATGTATTATCACTTTGGTTAAGAAACGAAATACTGCTTATACGATTTAAAAGAAACAAGTGATATAGAAGAACCTAAATTCTTAAGTTGCATTAACTTCATGAGTTAGAGATTTATAGGAAATGAACAGAATTGTGTTCATTATTGAGATAGTGGAGAAAATTTTTGTAGTTCAGTTGGATGATTGTGGTGGAGTACCTTTCTTTGAGCTGGATGTTTTGGTTGTGTGTTCAATCTATATTTTCTATGAATCATTCAGATTATTTCCTCTTAGTTATTTTCGGACCTTTTCTTATTCCAGCGTGTAGGCGTTGTCTATGTATGGATCGACTCAGATAATGTAGATCCACAACCTCAACATTCAACTTGCTATTTGAACTAATAACTTCGCGCTTATCTTCAGTTGTACTCATTTGGTGTCCTCACAATAAGCTGTGCTTGTTTATGATTGTAATCAATATAGGCGTTTTAAGTAGTACCTTGTATTTGCATTCCTGCGTAAATTATTTCAGAATAGCGTATTACTTCATTAGTTACAAAAATGTATTGAATGAGAAATATAGTACAATCATTTGTTTATGTTTCAGAGGTGTACTTTATGTTAAGACTTATACCTAGTTCAGTTGTTACTTGTTGGTGACTTCTGAGGTACCCCATTAACGTCTTCTTTCTATTACTTTCACTGCAGCATTCATGAACTTCAACCCTATTGATTATGTATTTTTTTAATGTATCCCATTGTCCTACTTGTAGAAATCGAATCAAAAGATACTAATCAAAGAATTGTGTACGATTCACAGTCTATTTCTAAATTACTGGATCGTTCAAAAATGATGGCTGATTCAGAACAAACAGTTTCAGCTATTGATGAATATTTAAGTGGGTTTCGAGTGGCGCATTTCGACGAAATAAACACTGAGGCTGTAGATGATTCTTCAACAAAATGTAGTGAAGAGCAGGTTAATAGGATGGCACTCTCTGAAGAAAATCCTGAGTCAACCAATCCGACCATGGTTACCGACGGAACATATAATGAAGTATGGCTGATTATATTAAAATCAATATTTCTTTTGTTAACCGTCTACTTCATAACTAACAAATTTACACTAGATTTAATGATAAAATATTCTATGAAATAAGTGTAATTTTGTGCAAGCTAATTCCTAGTGAAATGTCATAACAGTAATAAAAGTGAGTTCACAATTAATATATGAACCGGGAATCTGACTTTTTTGAAATCACTTTGAAAAACAGATCTTCTACATGTGTTCGCTTGTCTGCTCAGATGCTCTACTTCATCCGTTTGTGTAACTTGATATATGCAGCCTGAGCTTTGGATTTCTGCTCGATTTTTGTTGATGGCTGCTGCTTTGTTCTTTCCTACTTCAGTTATGCCCAGGTAATCTACAGAGACCCATTGTCTATTCTGGTGCTTCTTGCAACCTAGCTTCTCCTGGCATTTCGAGGTTGTTATTCCTGTAATTCCTTTCCATTTGCTTTCCAGATTGGTTTTTTCTTCTAATAGATATTGTTGACTTGCAGCTAGTTAGTGGGTACTCTCATGAACTCACGGAACGTTTCTACATGTCAAAGGAATGCTGTACTATACTTTTGTAGTTCCTGTGCAACTGTTCGATGCTGTTTCAGTTTTGGTTCAGCGGCTGCCACTTGCTAACTTAAAGCTATATTAGATACTTTCATTCTTCTTACTTGTTTGATGGACTTTCTGAATGTTGTATTCTTAGATTTATGATCAATTTGATTCTCTGTATCTTACTTTCGTGAAACCCATGTAGATTTGAATGCGTTTGTGACTCGGTTGTCATGTAGTTGAAGTCATACGAATCTACTACCATCCTCGTCTTTTCCTCACAGTCCACGTTGTCCTATGACAAGGTGGTTTTTCTAGCCAATTCTTCAGGATGAACTGCTTCTTCCTTAAGCCTAATCTTTATTATCCTCTCTACTGTCAATGGGGGATGATAATTGTTCTAATCTTTTACTTCTTGATTTTGAAGAATTGCTTGATTGTCCTGGAACATCGGGTTTCCTGTTTTATAAGTCCTTCTTGTACTTTTTCTGGGGTATCAGTGCGAATGCTTGTGTGTGATAATCTTCTTCATGACCAGAATCTATGGGCCTCATTTATTCCAAACATGACCAGGTTGTATTCGCTGATTCTACTGTCTAAACGACCTCTCTCCCACCCATTTTCCGGACATTCCATTTACTAACCTCGATTGTTGCTTCGGTTATGTCGATCTCATAGCTTCCAAATAATCTCGATTTTTACCATGAAAGGTCACAACTCGTCTGTCTAAGAACCCTTGAACTCTTAGAACAGAGTTCAAGTGGTTCGTGCTATGTGAAGTTGCTAGCCCTGCATCTAACCCTCCTGCCTGAACCGGGCTTTGGACTAGGACTAAACTGAAGTGGCTCTAGTCAGAGTTCAGTATTGATTGAACTTACCTAAAAAAACTTTTCATCGCGGATTGCGTGTCACCACCGATTTTTAAAGCAACGTACCATTTGTTAAGGTTTTCACAATTTCGATCGTAAAATATGTTTTATCAGTGAAGTTGTTTACACATTTTTACTATTATATTTCTTAGTCTATTGGGTATGCTGATTTTTGGGACAAACTGCTACGTGAACGTCATGAACGTCTCGTGAATGCTGAAGTAGAAGCGACAAGTAAATCTAAGAGAAGCCATCGAACCATGTACAGTTCAAGTGTTAGAGATACAGTAGGTGATAAGGCTACTGATTTAAATGATAATGTAATTACCAACAAAGAAATAAAACTAGAAAAGGATGACGAGAATTCAACTGGTTCATGTATTAATGATAAAGAAAGACTGTTTGACAGAACTGAGGCTGTACGTGAAGTGATGAAGTTACCCTTGTCACGGAAAGAAAGACTCAAGGTTTTTAACCTCTATCACGGATTTGAGGATGAAAAATTGGGACTGTTGGTTGCTGAGCTTCAAAATAAATATGGAAACGCGAGTCAGAAAAGCCTAAAGGCTCGAGCCTGTTCATCTAAACCAATGCCTGCTTCTGTCAAAAGAGCTCGGTCATCGAGAGTAACTCCTAAGAGAACTCATCGTCAAGGTGCTTTCGAGAAGTCTAATATATACCACGTTACAGACTTTGAAGATTCTTTAGAGGAATCCTCCATACCAGACATTGCCAGTGATGATGATCCTTCTTATTTGCCGTCTGATGAAACTGATTCAGTTGAAGCAGTAAAAAATTCACTAGCATCAAGTGTGAGTGTTTATTATATCATACAACTTGTATTTTAGATTTTATAATTCGTTAATAATTTAGCGTATTTAACTTGACCGGAAATGCTTGTTCGACACTATGTGCCTAGTAACCAAGTTCTCTAGGTAAAGAATGTGACCTTAAATTGTTTCTAACCTATATTTACTCCTACATACCGATAACATTGTTTGTTGCTCAGTTGCATTGTTGCCATCATCCACAAAATACAAGTGTTTGTTAACGGTTGTCCACGCAAAATACTTCGGATTCGTTGACCAAACACTATCATCAACAACCTTATGTGGGAAAGACCAAACCAGACTCTAGTGGAGGAAGAATTAAGGAAGAGGTTAAGACACATTACGGTAAACATCCAACTGCGTCACAAGCCAAACCTTTGTGTTTCTAAACTTATCTCACTGAATTATACTTCTTGAATTATATCTTTGAACCTTAATCTTCTCCATTACTGCTAATACTTCTATCATCGTTACCAATATTGGATTTGAACTGAAAATCTCGCCTCTGTGCTAATGCGGTATGGCAACTTGAAGTGATGTACTTACGTACGAAGTTCTATGTTGAAACTGACTGACTGACTATAGTTCTTGAATAATATCTTCGATCCCTAATATTATTGTACATAAAACTAGTAAACTTTTTGTTTTCCTACATACTTACTATGTTTTCATTTCTCAGTCCTATAACTTATCTTCAAACTTAAGGCATAAAGGTTATCTTAAATTTGCTAGCTACTAAACTTTATGTTAGCATTGGAATTTTATCAATTTAGATTCTTCCGTATATCCACGTTGCATAATACTTAGCAGTATGATGTAAATGTCCGCCAATGTGCGTCACTCTTGAAACTTGCTAATTGATTTGTATAATGGAGTTGTTACAATTCCCAATCCGGTTAGTTAAGTGATTCTGACCATGAATCGTCTCATGCATTTAAGATAGCTGAAATAGTGACAATTAACGATTAATACTGATAGAGTTCCGTACTTATCAAAGGAAAAGTTTGTTAATTATTATATATATTGATAAATGTTGTTTAACAAAATTACTCATCTCATGCAAAATCCTTTGTCTTTCAGCGTACTCGAAGGTCTAGCACTCATGCGTTTTTGCCAACTTCAGAAGCTGTTGTCGACAGCAGCGACAGTGAAGAGTTTCTTCTCTGGGAAACATCTGCCGATGGGGTTCATCCAGTTTGTTGGTATCCTACAGCCGATACCTATGCCAAGTGGAGAGCACGAGTTTCTGATCTTGGTCAGCATATTACATGGCATCGGAATGAGTTATTTATTTATAACTTTGGGCCTAATGATCGTCAGTTATTCAACAATGCAGTTATGAGGTAATTTCTCAAATACTGTTGCATAAAATTTTTCATTTATAATTTAATCTTGTTTTGTTTGTCATTTCTGAATTCATTAAGTAGTAGTGGTGCTGCCACTTAGCTTTTGTTCTCTTTCACACTGTCCATCGATTGGATTTTGCCATCGTGTTAAAATATTTTTCTATCATCTACTAGTAGTAGTCTATTTATTCAGTTTAAATGAATATTTGAACTTGGTGATTAAAATAACATGTTTTAACTACTATGAAATGAAATCACAGCTTGCCTCAGCTAATCCATTTGATGTTTAGGATTTTCGTTCCATGATGACGTTATAATTGCATTCACATGGATGAGTCTGTCCATAAAATGTACGTTGATCACGTAAACTCAGTATATACTTTGTAATTTCCTTCGTTTTCTTTCCTACATGTTCTTTTTAGGTTCGGTCTTCCACCACCTGGTATTGTCCCACCTCAAAGTTGGCTTCCGCCAGCCTTATATCATAAATCTCAATTTCAACTGTTTGGTTATGTATGCCTGTACATGAAACATTTATACGATGATCCGAATGGATTAGATGAGTCTGTAGACAGGTAGTAGTCATTCTAGAGTTTGTTTATATTATTACAGATCATTTGATGTTTGTTGTCTATTGTCTTAGCATAAAGCTCTACTCTTTTATGCAATTATCAGGAAGGAAATAGGTAAATATTTGTCAATTTTCAAACCTCTCAGTCACTTTCTGATCAATTTATTACAGCTACTAATATTTGAGACATTTAAGCTCAGTGAGATTCGTCATAGAGAAATCGTTCCACATTGTATTTACATTTTATAAAAGCAGATCGGCTATCACATTTAATGCCAGAAAAATACGTGGAATGCATTGAAAAAAGTTTACTAGAGTCTCAACAACCGTTTTATTCTGCACGTTTAATATATATATGCTTGACATTTGCTCATTTCGTTTGACTGAGTTAGGTATATTGTATGAAACTTCGCTCCAAGTAAAGCTTCGTCTTTTGTTTGGCTTTCACATAAAGTATTTTATGAAGAACTACATAAAGACAGTAATTAATTGCATAAATTTTGATTCGTTATTTTAAACTAGTGAATGTAAGATAATTATATCGTCATCTCGATCAGCCAGTCAACAACAACAAAGAACTTCGTACGTACGTGCATCAGTTCAAGCTGCCATACCGCATTAAAACATAGATGCAACTTTCACTTCAAATCCCATAGTAGTAGAGGCATTAGAAGTTTTAGCGGCAAAGGAAAATATTAGGGATCGAAGATATTATTCTAGAAATAGAATCTAGCGAAATAAACTTAAAAAGAAAAGATAGAGATGATGAGCAATTAAGAAGTTTAGGATTTGAGAGAACACAACAATTGAATTCACCTGCGCCATGCAAACGGTTTTGAGTCATGTCACTCAGGGTCTCTAACTATCAATTACTAACATCTCGCGGACCCCAACCAGGTAGCCGACAACTACCGACATGACTCAGTCCACTTGTCAATGACTTCACGGATTGCTGCCATGTTTTGGTCTGGCCGCCCCTAGCTTTCTTCCAACCTATTCCTACACTACAAAACATAGCTCGTCGAGGCAGTCGGTGGTTGGGCATGCGCTGCACATGTCCCAACCTACTCAACTGATGAAGTTTCATTACTTCATCGATTGATCTGCCATTCTTACCTAGCACCCGATTCCTAATAACAGCGTCGCTCACTCGGTTGTCCCATGATGTACGAGCAATGCTTCGAAGACACCTATGATCGAAAACCAGTAACCTACGAATATCTCCTACTCTCACTGGTCATGTTTCACAGACATAAAGTAAGACGGAGCGAACTGCTGCGCAGTACACTCGTTCTTCAGTCAGCAAACGGATATCTCGCCTATGCCATAAGTGACGCAGGTTGGCCAAAGCTAGTCGAGCCTTCTGTATCGGTGCTGATATTTCGTCAGTTACCAGGCCATCAGCACTGATGGGACTGCCAATACGACTTCGGGGGTAGCCAGGTCAAAAGATGTTTTTCCTTATGCCTAAAGTTAGCGTTTACTAGAAATAGATGGTTATCTGAGCGTAGCCTCAGCAGACGGTCGCCATCATCTGTTCTCTGAGCCGCGACACCATAAGATCCACCTAGGTGTCTTTCATTTTCACTTGGTCTATCTATTTGAGCATTAAAGTCATCCGCCATTTTCACTTCATCACATTGCCCAACTTTTTGGAGGTCCGAAGGCTTATTGTAAAACTCATCTTTCAGCTTGTCTGAACTGCAGTCAGTGGGAGCGTAGGCAGATACTATGAAGAGGCAACGGTGAGTGTACCTGTCTTCATAAGCTCTTGTTTCCCATCTAGTCGGACTGCGCACAAGCCGCTATCCACTGGGATCCGGTCTAGGGAAGGTAGTTCTGCCCTAGGACTCAATGTTATACATACACCAGCGAGGCTAACGGAAGCAACAACATGGCTTCCAGATACGCGGAGTGTTAACTCTGTATCTTAACAAGTTGAAATCAAATTGATGATCTTACTCGGATCTTGTATGCGCGTTTCAGAGACGCAACATACATCGATGGCCTGGGATTCTAGAGTTCTAGCTAATGAAATCTGTTGCCCTATTCGGCACAAGGTTTGAACGTTAAAAGCTGCAATATGCAGTTTAGAACGGGGTTTCAGGAGACCAGGAATAACGTTTCGTGTACTCAAATCGTCTGAATTAGCGGTGCGGGGCGATAAAGCCATGTGAAAAGGGTGAGACTTGGAGATAAGATAAATGTTAGGGTGTGTAAGGTCTGATTGTGATCGATTTGATCTCGTGTGCTTTTATGGGTATGAGGTCAGATGTTAGTTCCCGGCTGCCCACACCGTGGAGGGGCTCTGGTTATCGGAAGGGTTTCTGAAGGAACTTGGATGAGATGTCATAACTCATCTAAATGAACACCTAAATCCCTGGCCAGAGTTTAAATGGTTTGAATTATTTTTCTCGTTAGCGTTTTTTAAGCCAGTTAGTTTTTCGTGGGATGGCCCCGGCAACCCCAAACTCAACCTCTTCTTTTATCCGAGAGTGCGACCGGGCTGTAGCCTCAGAGGGTCTACAGGCGGAATCATTGTCATCTTACTCTTTAATTTAGCCTTGCTTTCTATTTCCCTTGCGATTTTTCTGGTACTGCCGTCCTAAATTTCTGATATCATACACCCTTGATTCGGAATTAATACGTCATTAATTATGAGAATAATTGTTTTAGAGGAAAGTTTTATGTTATTTTTAGTTCTCTTTTTTATTTTGTGTATTTTCAATTTAGTTGGTCCGATGGTTTGCCTAAAGAACATTTATGCGTTCCTGCAGTGCTTTCACGTATTGCAATGATGGCTTTAATCAGAAACAAGGTTTTACAATTTGAGGATGCCAACGGGCCAACAAGTATTTCTACTGATGTTAGTCTTACTGTTCAAATATTTAAATGCTATTATTTACTCTTCTTAATTACTGTACGAGTTTACTAATCGAGTTCACAAGCGAAACCAACTAGTTGATTATACGTCTTCAATTTCAAATAATATCTTCGTAGCTATTTTTTTCTATGCTGATTGGGTATAATGTATAGTGATATTTCACTTCAAAACTCGGTACGACGCACGAGCTTCCGAATAAAATCGCTTCCTGTTCGGTATTCAACTTAATGTTCAATGTAATCAATTCCTATAGAAACTGCTAATACATTGTTGTAATGAAAAGCTGTGACTTTAACTGACGATTTCGCTGAAAGTGAGGATGAATACTTGATTGTAATCGCTAAGAATGATAAATCATTTGCATCATAGACTGCTTAATTCACACCTAATAGTAAATAGCGATGTTAGTTTTGAGTTCCATGTTGTAAAAAAATTTCAGTTATCTGCCTAATAAAGAGTTGAGAAGCTAAGTCAAAACATTTGAAAGTAGGTAATTCTACAGTTAGTACGTCGTAACTGTCTTTTGGTCATATCATCCATATCCTCAATACTGCTAATCAGAAGCAATAATATGTATACTCCCTTCAACTTCTTTATCTAAAGGTTCAGAATTCTACTTTCAAATTTACTATATACGAAGGTGGATTAACGCTATTACGTTCTATATGGAATGAAGAATGTAAGAAAATCAGTAATATTTGTCAAACAATTCAGTCCCATTCAGAAATTGCGAGAAATTCAGAAGTAATAATGAAAACTCAAAGAATATGGCATTCACGTCATGATTACTGGCTACTTGCTGGTATACTTGTTCATGGCTATTCTCGATGGACCGATATATTGGCTGATCCACGTTTTTGTATTCTTAATTTTGGATTATCTGGGGTTCTAAATAGTATGCATAAACTTATGAATTCTGATTTAAGTAAGTTTTCAGTGTATTTTGCACTCGATAGTTTCTCATTAGTTTCTTTTCTAATTATTGTGACAATTTCGTCATAAAAGTGGCTTTTCTTCTTAAACACATATATCCAATTAGTATGAACATTTCCACTGAAAGTTCGATTTATCACTTGTTCTACAAAATATTTGTAATTAAAACTAGGTCATTAGTTTCTCATGTAATATGTGTGATTCTCATGGAAAGCTCCCAGTTTTTATATTATATTTGTCTTTCACTCGTTGTTACTATTGCTCACCTTTCATTCTTTTCTGCATTTTGTACTTCTCCATTTTTATTAGAAAGTAATCTGTCCACCTTCTCGTCTTACTACATAATCTTTACATTCCTTATTTTACATACATACCTGTTAAGTTGTTATCAGAACCTGGTTGTTCTACTATGCCCTTTTTATGAATTTTTCAGGTGTTTAATCACCGCATTTTTCAACCATCAGCTGATTTCAGTATCTTATTTTTAAGTTGGTAGGTAATAATATCTTTCTGACATTCGAAACTTCGGTCACTAGTCTACATTATAATAAGCTTTTAACTTCCGTAGAATATTTGTGAATACAATTGTATAGCTTTAATAAATTGAGAAGGCATTTTTTAATGCTTTGTCCTGAACTCTTTCCCAATAATTTGAGAGGCCTTTCCGTTGTTTAAGATTTATTACATAAACGTTAATATCTGTTCAACGAAATTACTGTTTTAAATATGCGATTTACTTAAATTTTTCTAAAGGTTCGAATGGCACACCGCCTACTTCTCGTCGAATTCCTTCTGAATCAACTGAAGTTCAAGCATTCCTATTAGATCGCTTAAAATTACTTGAACAGGCTTTAATTGTCGAACAGACGTTGTATGAAGTCGCTGAAGCTGCCCTTAGCAGTACCACACACGGAAATCAACTGGACCCAGTTCGTACCAGAAATCTGGCTATTTGTTTGTCTGATAAATTAATCCGAACTAGAGCTCGCAAACGGATTGCTTTGCCTAAGGATCCGAAGGCGAGAGAAGCTACACGTGCAGGTAGGTCCGTTTATGACCGCGCTGTATCGTTAGCCAAGAAAAAGCGCTCCTTTATATGCCTATCATGTATTGGCACACAGAAATAAGTATATCTTTTACGCCTAATAATATAGAAGACACTATATTTAATGTACTGCTAGGGAATGTTGAGAAGTCTTGCATGTTTCTTTCTTATGATACTCCAAGTCGATTGCCAATAAAACTTGTTTCCTTAATATATAAATCAGTTTCCATAAAGTTAAATCGATTAGGAAAGCTTTTATAATTTTTTTTCTTGATCACAACTTTCACTATTATTCCGTTCACTGTACACTCATTCTTTTCTCCTCAGTTTTCTGCCTATTTTTTTGATTTTATATTATCGATAAGCTTCAAATAGTCTATCGCTTATGATTAAAAGTCTTTTTGAACCATTACTCATATATGATGAGTGGACAAATCGAATTCATCGTCACATAAGGATAAAACATTGAGTTCTGCTTCGTGCAACGTTTTGTTCTGTTTTCAAAAGAACACTAGTAACCAGGTACATGTTTATATCCGGAGCTGAAAACGATAAACATTTCGACTGCTTTCTACTCTTCTAATGTTACTTTTTGCTAGTGTAACTTCGGGTTTCAAACTTGTTTGAATCCTTATTTATTTATTTTTAGCCTTTTCATATCACTACTCATTTTTCTCTGTTAAAGTATCACACAGAAACTGTTTTATTGGTGTAATTTCTCAAGTGTGCTCAACTGGACGAAATGATCACCTTTTTTCCATAATAACCACTTATTTCCTATCTTATTATACCATGTCTGTTTGTTAACACTCGATAATGTTGATTTACTCGTGATCAGTTGACTAGAATATATTTTTGTTTTTGTTTATTAGTGGTACAAAATCTACAGGAACTATTAGAAGACATGTACGCAGATCTTCCTGGTATGCCCGCTTCAGTAACATTCACCGAAGACGATGATTCCAATCCAAACAAGAAATTAACCATAATATCAAGTGGAAATAAAGATTATGTCGGTATTATTGACAGTAATCGTTCACGTCATTTATCAGAAAGTATCGCGAACATAACGGGAGTAACTCTGTTAGATGGTGATGGTATTGAACAAGATAATTTTGATCAAAGCTTGCATGGAAACATTAATAGTCAAGCACCTGTGGATAAAATAATTTGTGCTGATAAAGGAAGACTCCATCCAGTTAGTTTGACATCCCAACCAGAAACGCTTAAACTCAGCTGCTCACCACAGTGTGGAAAGGGAATTTTTATTGAGTTGTCAGATGATGATGAGGTTGTGAGTTGCATTCCTGATATGATTGGTGCAGTTGACCAACAAGCGGACCGTAGTCTGGAAGCCATGCAGTCTACCATTAGTGCTTATGATAATAATGAAAACTGTATTATTTCAACTACCAAACCGAACGAACAATGATCTTATCCATCCCAATAAATAATTTGTTATATGTGAAATTTTTGTCAACATTATTCTGTACAAATCCCCTTTTCCATAGTCTGTAATGTTTTACAAAAGATGATCACATTTTTATTACAATAATGTCTTATTGAAATTCAATTATTTGTCTGATTTACTGTTTAAACCATGTACTTAAAGTACTATCGAAATTATATTTCAGTAACATAATTTACGGTCATAACAAGAACCTAATTAGTTATATTGACTGTCTAGGCAGAAATCAGTCCTAAGATTATTCTAATGTATGTTACTAGTACATGATATATTATCTGCGACAGTTTTAAACTAAACCTATCCTTAGATTACTTAATTATTTATGGAATTTGGAAGGATTAAAATCCATCATAACATAAGCCTTAAATAACCTGTTCGCATTACATGATACTAGTGCAAACTTATTTTTTTCGCAATCACATCGGCTGTATATTCGCTACCATCAAATGATATCCGTGGTTATAAACCATCACGACTTTGTTTAATAACTATCAAAATTCTGTTGACAACTAAAGAAAGGTTGGTACACAATCCTGCACAAAAGATATTGATTTGTCAGCTTTAGTTTCCTCCACTGTGTTTTGATTGTGATTTATAGCATTGACTATTTACTCAACTTTATTCATAGGTTCTGAATGTCGCATTTATTTAAATTCCGCCAACATTCATCCAAATTCGTTAGATGACTATATCTCTCAATGAATTGGTTAACTGGCTGCATATCACTTCATTTGAATTGTCTATTCACATAATTGGAATTATTTTCAGTTTAAGTATAGCTGTTCTTTGGGACGAAAAGATTTTGGATATATTACTGCAGACAAATCAAAGGGAAGTAATTTTATGGTGGATTTTTTTGCCGTTATGGTGCGCGGATGCTCTTGTTTCTTATTTGAATCTTGTGATGCTGTTTAGACGTATACATTATCACAAAGTAAGTTCAGATTACTTATACAGTTTTCTTTGCTTGTGTTGCCTCATGTGAACGTAATCAAATTAATTTGGTCTTTTCTTTGCCTTTAGATTGTCCGTCAAAATCTTCATCATTATGGTCTACGTCCTGACTATCTACCTCCACCACCATGGTTGTCTTTAATCTTAGATACTACCTACAAATTGATTTTTGATTTTTGTATTTTTGTTTTCGAATTATTTCTTTTTCGAAAACTAGTTTATTCAAATCAAAGTAGTTTGACTTACAGTACAGTTTTTTCTCCACTTATTTGTGTTTTATCATTGGTACTTTTGTCAATATGTATAAAAACGTGCAAAAACAATGGTAGTTAGTGTGTAAAGCCTTTATTGTGAAAACTCTTGGCAGTTCGCTTTCGTTTTAATAAGCCATATGTTGTGGCAATACTCAGTATTTTCATCATCACACTACAGTATTATTTGTAAACGTTTCTTTTGTGATTTCGTTTCCGAAGAAATACGATCGTACACATATCTGAATTACTCACGCCTAATACCATTCGTGGAACATAGGTTGCCGACCGAGGTTCGCCAACCAACTTTTTCCTTGGCTCCCCAAGTTATTTTCATATGTGCCTCTTATTCTCGGTGTAATACGTCCTTTCCCTTTGAGGCTTTCAAGTAAGAGCTTGCCTCGTGGTACGGTTGGATGATTTCCGCAATGTGTCCTGTCCACCTTCAGCGCTTCACAATATTGTCCTCAGGTTGGATCTGGCTTTTTCTCTCCCATGCTGCGTTGTTGCTAATTGTATCTGGCCAACGGATGCGGATTTTCCTGCGTAGACAACTAATATCAAACACCTGCATCTTGTGGATGACTGCTTTGGCAGTTCCCTGAGTTTATGCTCCATATCCAAGAACTGTTTGAAAGTTTGTGCTGAAAGCACTGGTTTTGTTGTTCCTTGATTGCGTTTTTGAGTCCCGGTTACTCTTCAGATGTCAAAATAATGCTGCTGTTGTGCTTATTCGTGTCCTCATATTAGCATCGGAACCCCCGCTTCGTTTATTAAAAATGCTGTACACGTATGTAAGGGATTGCCATCCAAATCTGTCCTGAACCTTTCTTTCTAGTTATTTCCAATTGACATTTTTCTTATCATCTCTACCTCTAATTCTCAGCGCAGCTTGTTCTTTCGTTTTCCTATTTATTTCCCATTCAATGCCCATTACAAATTTGTTTCTGAACCCCAACTCTTGTTTAGGCTGAAAAGGCTATGGTGAATTTAAAGCAAGGAAGAGCAGCAAGACCTGACAGATCAAACCCTGGGATTCTTAAGGATGGTGGTTCAGTCTTAGCACTTGGATTAAATGAGATCCTAGTTGGGATTTGTTTACTTTTGTACGCCTGTTACCTCAGGCTGCTGAACAAAGTCTGCGAACCAACTGTGTCCTGAACCTTTCTTTCCAGTTATTTCCAATTGTCATTTGTTCTTATCATGTCTACTTCTAATTCTCAGCACATTCTGTTCTTTCGTCTTGCTCTTTCCCCTGTAATTTGTGGACTCAGTTGGGGATTGTCTCGTGATGCAGCTGGGTGATTTCCGCAGTTTGTGTTGTGTCCGCCCCATGTGCTTTTTCTTAATCAGCTGGAATCGGATTTGTTCTTTGCCACATAAGGTTGTTGTTGATTGTATCTGGCATGGCAACCTGAACTGGTTTACGTACTAAGTTCTACATTGTAGCTGATTGACTGTGTCCGTGAGAATTCCATATGGTGTTGACTATTTTCTGAGGTACACCATATTGTCTAAGAAGGCTCCACAATGTACCACGGTCCATATTGCCAAGTGCTTTCTCGTAGTCAAGGACGTTGGTGTATGATAATGAGTTTTATTCAAATGATTGGCAGTGTCGCAATTTGGTTGGTACACGTTGGTCAGTTTGTTGATTTGAAAGTTGTGTATCTGGTAGACTTTTCATTCGAATCGGTAATTCTCTAGTGCCCGTTTCCTAACCGTAGCAGTGCTTCAAAAACCAGTCACTTACAAATATCTACTCTTACTGGCCATGTGGGAGAGATCGAATTACTGCGCAGTAGACTCGTCTTATGGTTAGCAGACCGCTATCTCTCCTACGCCACAAGTGACGCAAGTTGGCAGGAGCCAATCTAGCATTCTTTATCCGTGCTAGATTTCGTCATTCACCAGGCCATCAGCACTAATGTGACCCACAAGATAGATGAATATAGTTTTATCTCTGAAAACGTGTCTAAGACGAATTTAAATAAGAATGAAGAAAGTGGGCAACCTTGATGAACCGCACTTTGTAAACAGCTCGCTGTAGGCTCTCATTCGGCTTGTTTTTATGCTTAGCAGCAGTATTTCATTTGGTCTTGCGATCGTGAAAAACCAATATCAGTTGCTCGGACGTATACTACGAATATTGTTTCGGTGAATTCCACATAGCTCACTGTCTACTGACGCTGTGTCTGGTTGAAAAAGTGACCGGGTCGAGATCGATTATGATCACCACCACATATTCATTACTATCCCGTCACAAATTATGTGAACAAATCCATGGTTCATTACTTATTTAAAGGAGAAAGTAGGCGTTACCCAGAGCAGCAAGTTGTGAAAAATGGCGGCAACGCGCAAAAGAACATTGCGCTCAAGTGTGTGTTTTTGATAGTTAAACAGAACGCGACTATAGTAAATGTCTATTTTTCACCAATCGAGTTTTCTTCGTAGAAGTGTTTCACTACAAGTGTATGACAAGTCGTGGTATGAAGCAATACTGTGAAGGACTGACATCTGTCTCTTCCTCACGACTCCCTGATTGGGGTCCAAGAAATAGTGTAACTCACTGGTCTCAATAGAAGCCAGTGGTAGTTCTATTATAACTTCATTTTCTTCATATAAGGGAAAATAACTGTACCTGAAGATTCTTTCTGGTTGTAATTAACTTACTGAACTGTTTATTCCACTATTATTTCACTCATGAACCTGTTTCTATCTTTTTTCTTTTTTATAGTCATCGTTTTTCCCTGTATCTTAACCTAATTTTTAGTGTGTAACACGTATATATTTTAGTACTTGCTTGAACCAGTTTTTGTATTTTATATTTCAATGAATAAAAATCCAGAATGTTTTTTAGAGCGAACTTGGTCTCTCTGGTGTTGTTAACCCTTTTATGGGCTTTATCAGACAATATGATTTTTATACTACTTTTTCTAAATTCACTGGATCGAACTTACGCTATGCCATTGCCTAATGATTTCGAGTACTAGTAATCGCTATGGTTTCAGTGATATAATTTTTATGTTTCAGAATTAATTTATAACTAACTTGGAAAATGATAGTTAAGAAGCCGGATGCTTGCTGAATTTTCCAGTATGAAATACAAGTTACATCACTGTGTCGAAACAGTTCTTGTTGACAAGAGCTGCAACTAAGCAGCAGAAACCTGTAACATTCCTGTAGCTATACATCGCGAAATCACAGCCTTTAGGTGTAAGAATGTGCAATATAAGGAAGATTAGAGAAATGGCTACCTTTAATGATGATCGATAGGTTTGTATGACATTTTCTGATTGTGTAATTACGAGTAGAATATATAAGTCATAGGCTTTTGATTAACCGATTTTGACTCATGCTGCTCATAATCTCTTGTCAGTTAACTACTCTCAGCTACTTCTGTCTTGCTAATGGACGGCTGGACATTTTGTGAAATATAGGGGTCAATTGATCCCTGAAACAAATAGTTCTAAAATTCTTCGACATTGATGTTGAAAACCTTGGTTTTACTAGACACAGCTCAGTCGAAAGCGCTCGGTCACACATCAGCACCACGTCACCGTTTTCTTCACCATGTAACATGTCTCATGCATCAACTAGCAAGTTTATTCCATTCACTGCTCGGCATCCCAAACATCACTTAAATATGCCTACAATGCTATTAATTCCTCATTTCTGAAATGACTTGGCTTCTGGCATTCTCATTCAGGAAGTTGTTATACACACAAGCTTTGTTCAACTCTGAAATTCCGTGATAACTTCAGACATAACACATTAGGACACGTGTGTTACTTCTCTTGAAGAGATGAGTAGCACTAACCTTTAATCAGTCAATTCGTTTGTAAATTGTTAAAAGCCTGACTGTAGCTGCTACCCTGGGGCGGTGATGACACTTTAGTGGTGGCCGAGTCGCAGAGTGGCTATGATCACCACTAAATGTTTCATACTGTCCCGTCACGTAATATGGAATTAAATCCATGTTCGAATATTTATTGAAGGAAAAAGTAAGCATTACATAGGGAGCAGCACGTTATGAAAAATGTCAGCAACGCGATGAGAACGTTGCGCGCAAGAAAGTGTTTTTAGTCCATTCAAACAAAACGAGTACAATAATAAATGTTTATTTTTCACCAATCGCGTTTTTTTCGTAAAGTGCTCCACTACAACATAATCTACCTATATCGGTTGGAACACATGTTCCTGAAGGTGATAACGTGCTAGGCAAGTCAATTCAAAAACGGTGAGACTTAAAGCTGCTAATCAAGGTCTGAGGGCTAAGTTGTAACGCTGACTGTAGAGGAGTATGATGGCAGTAATGAGTTAACCTCGGACAACTAGCATCTGCAGTGATGCTACCTTCTCACAAGAGAGGGAGTAAAAATCGTTGACCCTAAAAATGTCACACCTCACCTTAACTCAGGGATTTCCGTCTCTGTCGGTAAGGCCTCTTAAATAAATGGCGGGGCCAACATTATAACAACTCCCCATAAAAAAGCCTTGCGTGACCGGCTGTTGTATTTTGGGTTCCGCATTCATGCTCACAGGTTTCTAACACCAACAGTAGTCAAACCGATTCTTCAGGTTCCTCGAAAGACACTTTCAAAAACAATTCATTGGTCAGTATAAGATGTGGTTTTCAGGTCGGTGAGCAAATACTTCACCTAAAGTTCAAAACGTTCAGACGCCTCACAACAGTACTGTTTCTCGAGCTTGGCATCCAATTCTGTTGATAGTGAGGTTCTGTGGCAGTGTCTGTTAATTAAAGAAATACCAAAGAAGTACATCAACCTTACACAAGTTCTCCACTCGAAATTTGTCGTAGACATGCTCTTAGAGTTAACTTCATCATCGTCTGACTTTTCAGGAGTGAATCTTCTACCAGGAAAATCGCTTGTCGACTTAGAATATGTCAATGACATAGTTTTGTTAAGTGAGGACGCTGACAAAATGCTCAGTCTTCTGACTACCTGAAGCAACAATGCAAGAATGTTCAGGATGCGGTTTTCCTCGCAGAATGCGAGATGTTGTTTCAGGATTGGCTTGTATCGACACCTGAACTAGTGATAAGGAGTGAAGCAGTTG